ACACGTGTGTGCACCTGGCCTGGCCCGCAACCTGGAACTTGCTCCCACCCTCCTGGTTCCGGGTCTTCCAGGAGATGCTCAGGAAGCTGGAGGCTGGCTGTCGGCTCTCTAGAGGCCAGGGGAGTCCATGCTCGGGCCTCCCTGGTGCTGAGCCCGCTGCCTGCTGCTTCTGTTTAATACATTCTGTCTCCCCTCAAGTTAACATACAGAGTAGACAGCTTGCTTCACGAGTAGCATTAATACATGGATGAATGTGACGCCTGGACAACGCACTTGCTTTACCCCAACATGTCCTCTGTTCTACTTACGTGCAGGAGGGCACTTCACTTCTCTGCTATCAATTAAACACCTACTTACTGAGCACCTACTGTGTGCTGAGGTCTGAACTCGACTCTGGGGAAGGTGTGCAAGCCACTCAAGGGGGCTTCTGCTCTGACCGCGGAGGCAGGGCTCGCCCCCAGGGGAAACAGGCAAGGGAGGACGTCTGGAGGCAGGTGGCCCGAGCAACGCTGAAGGGCTGGGACAGAAGCGCAGGAGGGTGAGGCGTCCGTGGGAAGGAGGACGCTGGAGGGTCGCTGGGGCTGAGGAGGTGCCGTTAGGAACCCCAGACAGTCCAGACTGCGAGCGCAGCGGTGTGGGATACGCGGCATTCGAGCAGGAACAGTGAGTCGCCGCGGTGGCTCGGGGCGAGGGGCCCTGGAGGAGCTGGCTACAGACGAGCCTGCAGGACAAGCACAGCGGCCTGGGAAGGGCTGCACTGGGGTCTGAACTTGCCCATGCAGGCTGGGGTCAACGAGCAGGTCCCGCACAGAAGCAGGAGCAAGTACTCCCGGCCACGCCGTCTCTGCAGCACCTACCCAACCCCGCCCTGACAGGGCGAAAGCGGCAGGGACGCATGTAAATGAGTGGCCGCATGTAATGAGTGGGCGTGGCTGCGTTCCGGCCAGACTTCAGCGACAGAACCTGGCAGGGGGACGCACTGACCCACACTGGGCTTGCTGCTTCCTGCTGCAGGCGACGGGAAGCCCCTAAGGGTTAAGCAAGAACTGACCTGACAGTGAGGATGTTACAGAGGTCGCGGTGCTACTGCTTGGAGGATACCCTGGAGGGAAAGGTGAGAGGCAGAGGGGCTGATGGGGAGACGACGAGGGCAGGCCTTTGTGCTTCCGACAGACGATGCTCTGTGGGTCTAAGGCCCCGGAACACGTCATTTGCACAGTGCCCTCTCCTCTCAGGGCATCGACTCACAACCACTCTCCAGCCTCAAGTTACACGAACGAAGGCATCATTCTGAACCCAGACGCGTTTCCTAAGGTGCACGCTGACAACGATGCCTGCTAAATTACGGATGGACCAGCACAAAGACAACTTGTAAATCTGACGGAGGGTAGGAGATGTAAAGGACGGCTTGCAAAGGAAAATGAGGAAAATCAGGGTTTGATGAAGGCAGCACAGGGGCCGCCATGGTAAATGAGCACCATCAGCCCTTTTTGCTTTTAATATTGAAGTGAGACAGAGGACTTGGACCAACGCCCTCATCAGTGACTGAGTCCTCTTTCTTCTCAGGATAAAACCAATTTGCTAAGTGAGGAGATAAGAAAGAACAGTAACAGAAACAACAAAACCAACCCTCCTTGCGCATCCTTCTGAAGAGGATTTCCAAACAGGCTCTGCCAGTCCTGCTTTCATGAACACACACGTCCTGTGGTCCTTAACAACACCCACCTGCAGTGATACGCTGAAGTTTCCACAAACCGGAACTCAACTGAATGTGCCGACTCTAAATCTTTGTTACAGGGACTCCGGCACTAAGTCTTCATGAAGGGACAAACGTAATCCTCAGCGCAGCCTGAGTAGGAACCACGGTTTTGGAGTCATGAGGTTCTTTGATAAAATGAGGACCTGCTTCAAGACCCTCCGATGCAGGATGTCCCCATGTTTTAAAAGAGCCGTGTTCCAAATTTCTCTGTGCAATCTGAGTAGCATTTTCCCCCAGAAACATGCCAACAATGTGGGTTAGTTCCCAGGCTAACCCTTCAAAAGCTTATTTAAACCAAAAGAAAAATGAAAACAGTAGGAGGCAATGGCTTTGCAGTCCTAGTAACTAAGCAAATCAAAAGAAATTAAGATTAGAAAATGATTTTTTAAAATTTTCTCTTAAAAGCAGGGAGTTGAAGAAAATAAAAGAGAGCATTCATTTTGAGATTTCCTTTAGCTGCACTCTCCCCTGCTCCCCGGTCATTCATTAGGTCCCAGATGCATCAGCTTTCTTGCTTTATTCTTTGAAGACTACAAGCTTGCCCTTGCCGCCAGGCCTTGATAGCTGCTGATCTATCAGTCAGGAACACATTTCCAAGAGATTTTTAAGTGTCTAAATCTTTATTATCACGGCCTCTGAGGGCCCTCCATGAATATACAGCGGAGACCCTTCCTGCCCCAGTCAGCATCTGGAACCTCACCCTGGGCCCCTTATATCCTGGTAAGTTGTTCAATTAAATATTCGACTGTTGAATGGACCCTCCAAAGTTTCTTTATTTCATTATTTTTAAGATTTCTTTCTTTTCTCTAATATAATTTCTAATTTTCTCCAATTCTTTCATTCCAAAACCCACCCATGATTTGATAGAGACACCCAGGCTAAGAACCATTTTCTCATGACTCACAAAAAAAAAAAAAAAGAACCATTTTCTTAATATTTATTGATCAACACAAATAACTCAGTCCCTCAGTAACAGAATAATGGTCAAGGGCGGGGAGAGAGAAGTAGAGGGAAGAAGGTTTTACATAAAGCGTATGCATGTATCGACGAAAGAGAGAGTATAACGCTGGCGCAATGGACTGGATGTCTATAAAAAGCGTAAAAATGGGGCAATTGACGGGCGGAAGCAAAGCCTCCCAAAGAAGCAAAAGGGAAGCTCTGAAAAAGACCAAAATATTCTCATGGCCTCTAGGGGGCACCACTGGCACAGTGCAGGGTTGTGATTCAATGTGTATTTTGTACTGAGCAGAGAAAACCATGCTAACAGGAAGCAAAGAACAATGAGAATGACATTTACTGAAAATGTCCCGCGAGCGAGAGATTTTGCCAAGTACTTCTATATGTAATTCTTACAACAATCTTTCGAGGCTCATATTATATTGTCCTTATTTTTCCAACAGAGGAAACTGAAATTCAAACTTCAATAATTTAAAGCAAAGAACATTCTGAATTATGGATCCAGATTTGAATCAAAGGATTTTTTTCTGACATTTCTCCAGGAAGGAAATATGTCAGATGTGTTTACTTATAAACATCAACATCAAAATTTACAGAATAAGCAATGAGCAAGCTTGACTGGATAATTTTCTTTTTAAAAAAGTAAACTTTTGCTTAATAAAAACTGCTTTTAATTATAATATTATCTAGTTATTCTAGGGTCTGCGAGAGTAATTTCAACTACAAAACAACTTTGCACAGTGGCTGCATTCCCCCATTCTCTCCTATGATCATCGTCAGGGTCAACGGGTTTGTAATAAGCAGATTCTGTAGTGAGTCACAGGTGTCACAAGCCCTGGACTTGCCTACTTTCACGACCAGTGAAGAAACAAAATAGCTGAAAAATTACTCCAAGGAACCCAAAACAGGAAAAATAAAAGAACAGACAGTTTTCCCATGTTAGCTTATCTGCTTCCAGCACTGAACCACCTGAACGTCCATGTACCACGTCCTCACCAGGGCTGGCGTACTGCCCCCTTGTAGATGGAATCAATGAACAAAGGAAGTAGCTTCTATTACCACATCCCTGTCCACAAGAATTGTGGTATCGGGTGTCACCGAATGCAAGCAGGTGATAGATCAAACCAGAAAAGGTAGCTCTGGGCATGTTGTTTGAGCTCTAAAAATGTGTACTTAAAAATGAAGCCCCCTGGATTTTAGGTTTCTGAGCGCTGTGTTTTTTTCTTTTTTTCTCTGTTTACTTAGTTTTGTATCATTTATTCTCATGCTTTCACTCTACAAAATAAGTGCAACTCAAGCTCTTTCAAAGAAACCAGGACGTAAACGAATGCATCATTTTGACAGTGGAAAATGACAAAACGTCCTTCAGAATCTCTCCATACTTGGCTGATAAATGAGCCACACCAACTGCAAATTCTAATACCAAGCAAAGACCAGTGATCGCAAGTGAGCCCATTCAGAACAGAACGAGGAAGACAGCACGGGTGCTTGACGGTTAGTAAAAGGGAAGGATTGATTCTTTGTTGATTTGTAAAAAATGAGCAAGATGGAAAATGAGTTACATTGCAACTTACAGCTCTCAGTTAATTACTTACTTACCCAAGCACCACTACAAAACGATGATTATGCAGCCTTTATTTCTAAATTAATTTCTAATTGCTTATTTGTTTCTAAAACAGGCAGTGTGAAAAATTTAAATCTATAGAAATTAGCGAAGTGTATACACACACACACACACACACACACATATAATGTGCATAAGACAAATTCAGACTTACCCCCTCTGCTTAACGTTATATTTTACCTAAAAAGAAAAATATTTAAAATAACTTAAGGATGTTTACCTAATTATAATGCTGTTTATATACATAAATGTAAACCATTACTATAAATGAGTCCTTAAAGTTTAATTTTAAAATTGATAAAAACGATCAGAAATCTCAGTAAAAGCCCCTATAATTTCAGAGAGAATGAGTCATTAGAAGCCTAACTTGTGCTATTACAGAGCTTTGATCTAAAATTATTTAGATCAATGAGGGAGACATTGCTAGTTCTAATAAGTGTAATACTCCCCTAGCTTTTCTGAGGAATCAAAAAAAAAAAAACCAGACAAGGTCATGTGACCCGTTCTGGTCTATGAAAAATGAATGAAGATAACGATGTCACTTCAGGACCAAGGCAGTGTGAAGCCCTGTCCTGCAGGGGAACGTGGAAGCCCTGTTTTGAGACGGTGGAGACACCATACTGAATCAGCCAGGTAAACAGCTATCTAGACAGTCTCCTCCAGGACCTGCAGAAAAATTTCGTCAGAAAGAAATAAACTTCTATGATGAATCCACCAAGATTTCGGCTGTGCCTGCAGCACAACCTCTCCTACTGACTCTAACAGCTCCTGCACATTCACAGCTCTGCTATCAATGTCTTCAGATGTGGGGGACGTACCTCTATGCGACAGCTAGACTTCCAAAAGTTGCAAACTAAGTCTGAGTAGACTGTATAAAAATGCGCTATTCATTACTTTATCATATCTGAGGGGCTTTATCCTGCCTTCTGATAGATCTTTACTGCATAATGAAACAAATGAACCCAAAGATTTTTTTTCTTACTCCAGGAAGGACACTTCACTTCATTATTTTTGTAACATGAATTCTTTATTGGGTCTAATGACCAAAAACAGACAGTTTTCTCAATCATAGAGCAACAAGATTTACTTGTTCTAAGAGGTCAGGGAATTCGGAAGGAAAAAAAAATACAAATCTAAGAAAACACAAGTAGTTTTCCCATTAAAAATTGGAAGGTGTGCATTAAGTACAAGTGAGGCGTAGGTCCCTGGACACTCAGGAGATGGAGAAGAATTCAGAGATGAACAAATGTAGCACCTCTAGCTGTGGAGGACGATACAAAGGCTGAAGTCAAGTTCTGAGACGTCTTCAGTTTCCTAGTTTAGCTCCTACTGGGCCAAGGTGGTTGCTTCCATGTTGTTAACCAGCATCCATCCAAGCTCCCCTCTTTGCCTTGGTTGCCAGTAATCGATCTTTAAATAAGTGACCTAGAGTTTGTAGATGTGCAGAACCTTAAAGCATCATGTATCTGGCTCTACCTTAGTTTTTATTCCAATGCTTATGTCCCTTTCCTGAGCTTTCTCACTTCTTTTTTGTCTTATTCTTCCCTTTCATTATAAACCACTTCAAATGTTGCCTATAATTGGGTAGTTGTTAATAAATTAACAAGTGAAATTACATACTTTCAAAGGCCCCTTTCAATTTTGACATTCTAGGGAATGTTTTTCCAGGCAATAGAAAGACTAAACATTTTAGGTATCAAGGTTGACTGCAAAATAACTTGCTCCTACGTATGAGTCGCTGTAAAGCAAGCAATCAGACAGAGCTCAGTCCTGTATCAGGACGTCGTGATGATAAGCTACCAGCTTGTAACTCACATATCCACTTTTTCAGAGTTTTTCTAGAGACACTGCTTTCATCCAAGACACACCCCTCATGAGGCGGAAACCCCCATAAAAAGACAGGCAGGACCAGGCAGGGCCACTACTCTCCTGCCAGCACCATCCGGTTCCCTGGCCCAGAGGCTCTATCTCACTTTTTGCCTCTAAAATGGCTTACTTATCCCTAAAATGCTATTGGTTCCTTCCCTGAGCTCACTCCTGATTGGTCATTTCTCTCACTCCTGATTGGCCCATTTTCCTCACTCTTGATTGGTGATTTCTATCTCTCCTGATTGGTCCATTTCTACAAAGCTTGTTCCTAATTAGTCAACTTTTGTTATACCTTATTTGCATATGATGTTGCAAAGTGTAAACTGGCAGCCTATAAAAGCCTGTGTAAACCTACAGACGGGGTCCAGAGCTCGGAGTGTTAACTCCTCTGGGCCTGCCAGCGTAATAAACCTGAGTTCTCCAACTCCTGGAGTGCTGCTTGGTCTCTTGCCTGGATCCAGGTTGCTGTCACAACTGAGCTGTAACATGGAATTATAACACTGAGCTGTAACACATTTTTTCTGCAACACTCAGAGATGTAACATAAAATAATCAATAAGCAAGAAGTGAGAAGAATCTAGAGATGGATTCCCTAGCTTCAAACTGGTAAATCAAACCATTTACAGAATCCTTGACCTTGAGCAAATTAATTGAACTTCATGTGTCAAATGAGCATAATGACAAATGGAGAGTTCTTATTTGGGGAATATTACATGAAATAATAGAACAAAGTATTTAAAATGGTGCCTGGCACTGCTCAATAAATGTTAGCTCTCATTGTCAGTAGATTATGTCTCGGGTCTTTCTCTTTCATCCTGCATCTACCAGCAGCCTCCAGCAACTCACTCATGTGCCTTCAGTTGGTATTTGTAGAGACGCTCTAGCCCAGACATCCCTGCTGAGTCTGGACCTTAACATCAAGCTACCCACTAACCTACCTCCACTGGGCACCTAACCCCTAGGCACTCCGCCTCGCCATGTTCAGAACTGAATTCACCATCTCTATCAGTGTTGGCTTCTGTCTGTTTTCTCTGTCTCAGTGAATGGTAACAACACCCCACCCACTCGGCTGCCCCATGGGAAACCTGGGAGTCACTCTTGCCTCTTCCTCTTCCTCCCCTGCCCATGATATGCGACAGCCACTCATCAAAGCCTTGACAAGAGTCTCTCCTTGACCAAACTCCAGCCAGGCTCCTCTGAGCCCTCTCCTCGCCGAGGCTTCCACCTTGGCTGATAGAGACTTGAACAAACACTCATGTAGACTCAGAAGAGTTGAAGGCTGCCAAAAGAACTGACTGTCCCAGGCTACATCTGGACACAAGGCCCAGTCTCCCAGCCTCCGTAGGAGGGTAAAAGACTAACTCTGACAAGCCCCAGTTAGCAAATCCAGATGGTTTCACATGGACCAATGCCCTCTTCCCACCTTGCATAATTTTCTGCTTCCCTGACTCCGCTCCAGACCCCGCCATTTCCCCTCCTTCCTCCCTCATTTAAACACCAGTCACCTCTGCACAAGTCAGAATGAGGCTCAGTGCTTTCCCCACTGTCAGTCACTGAATCAAATCTGTTTTCACCACTTTAGCTAAGGTCCAGCTGTGTTTCTTTGATACCCTCTTGAATCTAGCGTCTAAGCTAAACATCACTCAGTTCTACCCATGTTCTCCAGTCCTTGCTGCAGTTCTGGCTGCCACTGACTCTCACCTGGATTCCTGCAGCAGCCCCTAGTCCTGCCTTCCTCCAACCCACTTTCTACACAGTGCAAACTGATTGGTGCCCCCTGCACCCCTAGCTCAAAAGCCCTCAGAAATAGCTTGCCTTTGCTCTCAGGCCACCATTCAAACTCTCTAAAATAGTCCTGTCCGGGGGGGGGGAGGGAAGAAGAGAAAGAGAGAGAGGCAAAAGAAAATGAGACATCATGAAAAGATGAATGGGAGACACCAAAATTAATAGCACTTTTCCATAGGACCCAGCGGCATTTCCCCAACTGCTCCCCCACAGTAACTGCTCCACCAGCACCTGTGATCTGCTGGGCAGGCAAGACCTGGAAGCAAATGCCCAGATTTGAAACCAAATCTTGTCTTCCCTAATGTCCCATGTAAGCCCTCCTAGACTGGTAACAGATTGATACCTATTGCAACCGAACCAAGAAAAAAATACAGGTACCCAGTTATTAAGGCTCTGGATGGCTTGAGCCTCAGCAGGACTGATGAGGGTAGGGGCAGTGTCCCCTGATGAGAGTCATTGCTCTACAGGATTCACGGCCAGAGAACAATCCAGTCTTCCCAACCCAGCTCAGATGCAAACCTCTGACCATCAAAGGTGACAGATGAACTTGGCTCAACCCTCAAGTTGCTGACAAATCCCCAGCAAAGGAAGTGGGAAGGGGCGCAGATACCCGGAAGTCCAGGGCACCCTGATAAATAGCTGTGGTGGGGCTCCTCCCACCCAACTCTGACAAGAAATCTATGCAGGACAAATATATGATCAAAACGCATGGTCTGGTTACCTGAGTATCATCGTTAAGAAATGAATACAAATAAACTCCCTGCAATGAAAACAGTCCTTCTCTTCCAGAAGGACAAACAAAATGAGCCTTGGTGGTGCACTTCTTTCTGGAAGAGAAAGACTGTTTTCATTGCAGGGGACTTATCTGTATGGTTACCAAAGGGGAAAGGGCATGGGAGGGATAAATCAGGGGTCTAGGATTAACAGATACATATTATTACATTAAAAGTAGATAAATAACAAGGGCCTACTGTATAGCACAACAACTATATTCAATTTCTTGTAATAAACTATAATGGGAAAGAATCTGAAAATATGTATGTATGTGTATAACTGAATCCCTCTGGTGTACACCCGAAACTAACATTGTAAATCAACTACACACCATTGAAAAATAAAAATTAAAAAATAAAAATAAAGTCTCAATGGTATAATCGTTACCTGATACAGACTTCAGTAAGGACTTGTTCACGTGGAATAAGGAATCAGAGGGGACTTACATTCTTTACTTTGGGCCTGAGTCACCTCCTGCCGTGTTTCACTGTGCTGTCAGCCGGGAACTCCTTGTATGAACCCCTTCCCTCCCCTGCACTCACCCAGGGATGAGCACTCGGCAGGTGCCTGGTAAAGACCTGTAGACAAGCTGAATCAGGGCTGAATGCACACAACTCCCTCCGACCAGATAATTTTTCACATTGCAAGCTGGCAAAGCTAACTGAGTCTGAAAGCGCAGCAAAGTAGAAAGAAAAATCAAAAGAAAAGAGAAATAACCTAGGAAGACACAAGGAATTTTAAGACTTTTAAAGAGGGCTATATTTTAGGTTTCCAACAGAGAAAAGCCTACACTTATTTCCCCAACAGGTGTGAGTCTCCTTGTATTATCATTAGTGATAATGCATATAGTTTAAAAAAATTATTGATGTTAGAACAAAATTATTTTCTCTAAGGACAGAATGATCCCAAATCCAATTTTATAGTATATATATGGTAATGCTAAAAATAGACACATCTAATGGAAGCAACCTAAGTGTCCACTGACAGATGAATGGATAAAGAAGCAGTGGTATACACACACACACACACACACACACACACACACACACACACAATGGAATACTACTTGGCCATAAAAAAGAATGGAATAATGCCATTTGCAGCAACATGGATGGATCTGGGGGTTGTCATAAAAAGTGAAGTAAGCCAGAAAGAGAAAGGAAAATACCATATGATATCAATTATATGTGGAATCAAAAAAACTGACACAAATGAACTTATTTATAAAACACAGACTCACAGACACAGAAAACAAACTTAATGGTTACAAAGAGGAAAGGGGAGGTTGAGGGATAAATTGGGAATTCGGGATTTGCAGAAACTAACCAGAATGTATAAAATAGATAAAACAAGAAAATCCTACTGTAGAGCACAGGGAACTGTATTCAGTATCTTGTAATAGCCCATAATGAAAAAGAATATATTTACATGTAGAGCTGAGTCACTATGCTGCACCCCAGAAACTAACACGACATTGCAAACCGACTGTATTTCAATTAAAAAAACAGACACAACTAGATGCAGCCTGTTGACACTGTGGCCCGTTGTGGGGCTCTCACACTCTGGGGGGTGCTCAGCAGCATCCCTCGTCTCCGTCCACGAAGCTCCAGAAGTGCTCCTCCCCGCTCCATCTGGAACCAAATCTACCTCCTGACATCGCCAGACGTCCCCTGAGATGCACAGCTGCCCCGAGGTCTACATGACAATTCCATCACTCACATCAAAGGAGGGCAGGAAGCGGAGTGTCTGTGTGTGCGTGACTGCGTGCTCACCGCTCATGCGTTTATAGAGTTAAATAAATTAGCGGGTAAGTTATCCCCAATTATTTAATCAGTGCCTTCTAGTAATAGAATTCTGGAAAACATCGCTTTTAACGCATCGAGTGCACCGACAGGCCAAGCACTCTACTGAGCGCATCAGAGCGCCAAAACCGCAGGGCGGAGCAACACTCTGGTCCCTCCACAGTGGACCAGCAGAGGGTCCGGTGTGTGACCAAGGGAACCGCGGCGTGTTCACGCAGCAGTCTGGTCCCAGCGCAAGGCAGGAAGCCACAGTGCCCAGTGCGCCACCCGCCGGGAAGCCTTGGCCCTTTTTCCTTCAGGAGGACAGGCGAGGCTGACCTCTGGGGCGCGCGCTGACCGCACACTCCGCGCCTGCAAGCGAGCGCCCTCCCCGCCACCCGGGGGCTGTCGGCTCTTTTGCGGCGCACTTCACCTTCGGAAATTGTCTGCTAGACCTCCCAGAACTTCGCTCTCTGCGAACTGGGGTAAGATTCTTCTCAGAGTCAGTGTGAGGCTAACGTGTCCTGACGCGGGACCTGAGAACGCTCAGTAAATGCTTATGGCACTGAAAATGCATGGAAGGGGCAAAAGACTACAAGAAAGTGCTCATCCACCGCCAGCGAGGTCTTGAGCTTGTGCTGATGAAGACACCCGAAGGGGCACGTCCGGCGTCCGGCAGCGCAGGGGGGCTCTCCTGAGCGCAGACACGCCTGCTCGCAGCTCGGCAGCCACGGCGGGGCGGGCGGCGCCGGGCGGCGCGCGCTCGGCCCTGACTCGGCTCGCGCGGCGCGGGCGTCTGCGGCTTCAGTCCCGCTCGCCCTCCGTCCGTCTCTCGCGCAGCTGGCCGGGCTTGCTTCTCCGGCTTCAGCGGGAGCAGCGAGCAGAAAGCCTCGTCACACCAGAGAGAACGCACTCGTCATTCGCACCCGGAATGATGAAAGAAACACGCTCACAGCCGAGCAGGCCTTACAGCTGCCCCCTGGCGCGGCGGAAGGGTGAACGGCGACACTCGGAATGCGTGACTCAGCGGTGAAGAACCGCCTAGAACCCGGCTCCCGGGGAACGAAGCCGGGGCGGGGCCCCCGGTCCGGGTCAAACTCAGACTCAGCTTGTTCCCTTAGGGAAGTCACTTCTTTCTTACTTCAGACGATTCACGTGTGTGCTCTGTGTCTCCTGGGGGTGCTCCAAGGACGGAAAATCAGGCAGCGCCCACACCCTCCTCTTCACTCACTCTGCTGCAGCCTCACCGGACTTCCTGCTGCTCCTGAGCACCCTGGGCCTCAGGGCCTTGGCACCTGCGTCCCCTCTGCCTGCCCTGACGCCCCCCGCCCAGACATCTGCATGCAAGGTCGCCCCAGCGCTGCCTTTCGGCGCTCCGGGACCTGAATCGCAGCTTCAGTCCTGACGCCCTGTGTGCTCAGTGTGGCTCCTTTCCGGCTTTGTTTCTTAGTCATTTTACTAGATGACACTGTCGGCGTCTCACTTCTTCATATTTTTCCTCATTCGTTTCCCACACTGAAACAGAAGCTCCCAACGATAGGAATTTTTGTCCATTTTGTTCAGCTTTTCCCTGAAAGAGTGCTTGACACAGAGTAGGCCTCCAATTAAAATCTGTTCAAAAATACAAGTGAATTAAGTCTGATTAATAACATTACTCAGAAAAAAATTATAACTCCTTCCAACTTCCAACCCTCCTTTGGCTGTGAATTAATTGTGTAGAGGAATAGAATTTAATTTAAGCGTTGCCAGTCTGAGATCTGGTTAGAGACAAGAAATCATTTTGGTAGCAGAAGTAGGCACGCCAAGGGCCAGCATTATGGTCGAGTTCTACGTCTTAAGGCACAAAGAAAGTGATACCTGAAATAAGAACGTGTTGATCCCTCTGTACTTAGAAAGTCCACAGAAATCTGTTTGCAGCCACGAGGCAACCAGCATGTGGTCTTTTTCATGCAAGGACTGGGCTCTATCTTTAGTCAGTTCTTCCAGTCCATCTTCACAGGCAGGTTTCTATCATTATCCCCATTTACAGATTGGTAAACTGGGGGCGTGATAAAGAAACCAGCTTAAATAAATTTCCCAAAGTGATAAAAGCTTTATAATTTTTACTTATTTTCATCTAAGTATAGAACGACTCTTGTTAACAAGCTCAGATTTAAAAAAAAAAACAATAAATCTCGGTTCTGCCATTTTCTCACCATCTGGCCTCAAGTAACTTATTTCACCTTCGTGACTCTTTTGTCTGCACCTCAACATGGAAGGCACAGCAACAACTACAGCTTGGAAACACCCAAAAGATAGTAGCTCTTAGTACCTGCTGGTGTCTCTGCCAGCTCTCAGCGCTTCCTCAAGGCCACCTTCACTTCAGGAGACACCTGCCCCTTCCAGAGCACATGCATCAGCCTCACGCCTGCCCCCCTTTACATATGCAGCCTAAAGCCGAGGGCTAGCTTCCACCCCTGATTTCAATCAGAACAGGGGAAAAACATTTAAAAAGAGAAAGGGAGATGAAAATATCTGAATTTGAAAGAAAGTGCCAAAAACATCAGAAGGACAGTAATCTTTTAGCATTTACATGAAAAGGAAAACAGAGACTTTATTTTAGGGCAATTAAAAAAAAAGATTTTTTTTCTTCTCTTTTGAATTAAGCTGCCACGTGGCCTCTCATTCGTTCTCTCTCTTTCTCTCAATGGAAATTTGAAATGGGAAAGTTTCCCAAATAATTTTAGATCAATCATGAGTTCATGTGGCTTTGACATCATAAGTCCTGTCATGTTACCATGCCAACAGGCAGTGAGGAGCTCAAAGCTTTCCAAAGATACGGAAATGATGGGCTTAGATGTGATTCAGTTCTCCGCGGGGTGAACACTAACAGCATCATGGGCTATAGATAGCAAAGGCTACCATTGCACCCTCTCACCCACTCTCCCTTGTTTCTTTCAATGGGCACTGAAAATACACGATCTATTTTGGAAACAAAACCTGAAGATCCACTTTCCTAAATGGACGCCCTGCATGTAATAAAAAGGTACATGACTCTTCTTCACATGCCTCTCAGAACGAACTCCCGTGTTAACCTAGACAGCCCCAGCTCTCACTCCACGCGTAACCTAACCCCGCATACCCAATTTCTACTCCTTCATTAGCACCCAAAGGTAAGGGTGTGTGTGTGTGTGTGAGCACCCTCTCCCTATGCTGTGGAAAGCATGTAAGTTAAAGTGCCTAAAATAAAGAGGTGTGCATCCCAGAAATTAGAAAGGAGTGTACTTTGGTCACGGAAGCTCTTAAAAATACCCACAGTGTGAACATGCCGACTCGCCCAACGTATGGTGTGTTTCTGTCCACCACTCTCGCCGGTCAGCTTGGCTTTGTTTTTATGTTTGTTTCTGTCTGAACTTCGGGGAAAACAGGTGCCACTGCAGAGCAGAAGCAGGAGCTGTATCTTCTCCGTCTCCACTACACTGCTGAAGAGATGGTGACATGTACACTTCATCTACTCTTAGACGATCGTAAAACACATTGAAAAAATGTTTTGCTGTCTTTTTGTGGTAGACTCTTAACTTTAAATCATCCCTGCGAACCGTGCCTGCTAGCATTCCCACCCATGTGCGGTCCCCTCCCTTGACTCTGGCCAGTCCTGTCACCTGCTTTAACCAAAGGACAGTTTGGAAGTTGTGCTGCGCCAGTTTGGAGCTTCCACCTTAAGAAGTCCTAGCGTCCCCTGCCTTTATGCTTTAAGAAGCCCAGACTAGCCCTGGGGAGAGGCCACGTAGGGAGCACTGAGGCCACCAACCAACAGCCCCAGATGAGAACTAAGCCAGCGGCCACAGCCACCTTCCAGCCATGGAGGCAAGGTCATCCTGGATGGGGACCCTGGGCCCAGCAGTGCTGCCTCGACTGACACACAGATGAACTGTCCCCGCCAACCGCTGTCCAAACTGCAGAGCTGTGGTTGTTTTAAGTTTGGGGAAAGTGTGTTTCATGAAACGATGGGATCAGGAGTATCGCACATTTATTAGTGAGGAAGAGGTACAGGAAGAGAAACCTGGGTTCGGAGCCCTCCGGCCTCCCTTCGGTGTGATGTAGGGCAGAATATTAAAGCCCCATCTCCCACGTCTGAAAATGAGGGGAACAGTAACACCAAATTCCTTGGCGGCGGAGGGGGGAGGGGTCATTGAGGGCACTCGTGTGAAGTCCTAGACACGGCTCCTCCCCAAGGCTAACCGTGCAGCGGACACGGACTAGCATGAACCCTGTTCTCCTAGGCATTATGGACGTAACAGAAGTGCACTTTCGAGGAAAATGCCACTGAATCCAGGAAACAAGGCATATATGTGCAAAACAAAGAATATTGTAAGGAAGGATTATGACATTCATGGTGATACAATTTTACACGTGTGCCTTGTGGAAGGGACGAGATGAGGTCCAAGAAAGCCAATTTCCAAGTGGAAGGGGAGGGGAGGATTATACCTATGCTACTTTTTTTTTCCTTTTTTAATTGAAGTCTAGTCAGTTGACAATTTTGTGTCAATTTCTGGTGAACAGCATAATGCTTCAGTCATCCGTACACATACCTATGATTCTTTTTCATTATAGGTTACTGCATTTCTTTTTGAATTTAGCAAAAAATGCTCATCAAAGGCATAGAAGAGTAAAAGTCACGTCTGTCGTTCTTATTAGTCAGTCTTCAACCAACGGATAATAACGCGTGAAGGAACTCCACGTGGGGTGGCCTAAAGTCCCCAGCATCTCACATCTTTTCGAACAGAAGAAATTGAAATATTGGGCCAGTGCTCTCAGCCCAGTATCAGTCAGACCCCAGAAGCCACATGTGCAAATGTCCTTGCTAAATTGACAGAATCCAGGAAGAAGTCCAAGAACGACCATAGATGCATTAGCCTCGGGGAGAAGTCGCATTGTTAATTCGCACAACCACCTCGAGTCTTCCCCTCGCCGAGGGGCAATTCCTGCCACACTCCCAGGCGCCCCCCCCCATGTGTGACTTTCAGTTTTTTTTAGATGTTGACACTTACATTTCACATTTAGCTTTCATCAAAGGATGAAAGGATGTCAAATTGCTTCGCTCACAGTAATTTACCGGAACCCTCAATTCTCCAGCAGGGCCTGCCACTTATTATTTTTGTATCTAATACCTAACAGAATATAATTCCTAGGGAAACCCTCCCAGTTGCAAACAGAAGGTGATGATAACTTAGATGTTGTGAATCCAGGAATAATTTTGCTTTTCTCTATAAGTGGCAAAACATGCAGCCCCGCAGGCAGCAGCAACGGCCACCTTGGTCCACAGAGGAGATTAAGAGGCTGAGTGTTTACTGACTACATTACAACATGCACCCTAGAAGACCAGGTATGTTTGGAATTGTGTTCCAGAAGAAGACAGGTACTCGAATACAGTAAGCATGGATAGAATTTCTTCCCCAAAGCATTTCTGAAAAGAGGTCTCCAGCAGCCTCATGTCAATAGAATGGAAGTTCACCCATGGTCCGGCAAGATGCTGGCATGGTTGTGAAGCCCGCTGGTTGTTGGGGGAGCCTTTCCACCTTGCCTCCCCTCACCGCCTTCCTCCTGTTCCTGGCAGTCCCCTCTCTCACCCGAATTCTTTCTCTGGGCTGCTCCTACTAGAAGCATCATTCATTCCCCAAGCCCCATGAAGGGACTTCGTTCAGGAGGGCCTAAACTCTTGCCACTTTGAGGAGCATTCAGATTTGCTATAGAAACCCAAACCTTTCACAAACTCAGACAAAGTCGCAGCAGAATACCAGTCACTTTGCGTTAGTAAGTTATTTCCACCTACTCTGAGGCTAATTCTTGCTCATGCCAAATAAACGTACTCACCTGTCAGTAAAACCGCAATTTGGCATGGTGTGTGATCTCGGAAACCGCAAAGCCAGACAATACCTTGTGCTGATTTTTAAACCTTGAACATCTGTCACATTTTAGTTGACTGGAAACAGAGATGAATACCGTGTTTTCAGTAATCACTAGACACGAGTGATAGACGACCGACTCCGCTTTGGCGATCCGCCACTATTTCGGAACAAGCCGCGCTGACGTCAAGGAACAACTTCCACTTTCTGCCTGTAAAACCCTCCCTGGACCGGAGTGAGAACTACCGGTGGGAAAGTTCACCAACACGCCCCGCTCCTTTTCAGACACGCCCCTTTTAAAACCCACCAATCAGCACTTACCCTTCAGCATGTCTCATCTGCATAAAAACCCACCAATCAGAACTTACCGCTCAGCACCCCTCATTTGCATAAGAACCCACTAATCAGCTTCTACCCCTAGGCATAAAATAACCAAGTCGGTACCCAGAGAGGGGGCCGCAGTCTCACTGCAGACTTTTCGGTGGGTTTTTCCAAATAAAACCTGACTCTGCTGTTGAGCTGCATCTGATCTTTTTTGACTCTCCCATTCTAACAACAAGTGAAAGGGGAAGAAACAGGAAGGCAGGCAGGCAGGGTGAGAACACAAAAGAGGCAGGTTCCTGGGAGCCTTGGGAAGCCTGTATGAAGATGTAAAGGTTCCAGGCTAGCAAATCAACCAAAGTGCCTTTACCTGCCTCTCTGTGGTCTCCTTAAACGTCCACCTCTGAGTAATTTACTTACGGTTGTCTCTCAACTTATTTGGAAGCATTTCTTTGTCTGGAATAAAGACTTGAGAAGGAGGATGAAAGAAACCTGTAATTTCTTTATTTTTGACATCTCTATTGAAATGGAGTGGATAGAGGGACAGTCCTCTCTTCAGCCACTTTTTTTTATGCAAAGTGGTTAATTAGCTTAATCAAGAAAAAATGGATATAATTTGCTGTCCTCGAATTTCAAAAGAGTTATCTTTAGAGCATGGAGCTCATAAAAGAAGCTTGAGAGATGGTTGTTTAGTTTGCTGTTCCTTAAAATACCCAGCTCCATTCATAGCCAGATGCCCAAAAAATGTGTGCCCTTCTTCACATCAGAATTCTGGGTTTTGTTCATTTAGTGGGTTAAACTGGATTTAACATTTGTTGTCTTTGATGTACAATGAAAGCCAGGATAATGCAGTCATTAGACTTGGTTCCTGAAGTCAACAGTCTGAATTCCACACCCAGTGCTGTCACTTAATAGATAGTGTGACCGTGGACAAACTACTTAACGTCGCTGAGCCTACCTCATCATCAGCAAAATGAGGATAATCACAGAACCTGTCTCTGAGGGCTTAATTTGACTAGGCAACCCTTTCTTTAACACATTCAAAGCACCTAAAAAATCAGAAGAGTGTTCTTTTTAGAAGGAGTTTGTAACTCAAAAAGATTTTTTTAAAGCAACATTACCATCTGTTGTTAAATAAGGAATCTGTTTCAAAAAGACAAAGGAAGTGTATATACATTACAAGTAGGGAAAACACCAAATACCCAGATTGAAAGCAAAAATAAAATACATGCCCTTCTGAACATGTCCCCAAAACTGAATGAGTGATTTGAAAATAACTATAGAAAAATTAGTAAGTTACTAATGCCTGTCTTGGATGTGAACAGCTACAAATAGTAATGTGCCTAGAATTCCACTGGCAAGAAAAAATATATATAAGCATGTATGATCTCATTACCTATTTCCACTAATTCTTTTATTTTTAGATGCTTCAAGATACTAATAGCTTCATTATTAAAACCATTATAAGTCGGTTTCAATATTCAGCATGTATTAGGAACATGCACCATAAATGACTCTGCTCAATAGTTAAAGCATTACCTAAGACTATAAAGTCATGTTCAATATGTCACATCCATATGGTAGAGTTCAGATAAAATAATGATTTGAAATTGTGGGAAATGTTTTAGGTTTTTAAACTAATCGTGAGAGAATTCTGAGCCATATATTCCATGTAACAATTCCCAAGGCAATTCTGATCATTTCAAAATTTTGTAGCTTAGCATATGTCAAGGCATGCTAAAGATTACACAGCCTGGCAGAAAAAGGTCGCATTTCACATCCAATGTCATTCAGCTGGAGCTCTCTTTTAGCGGGTGCCCTCCAACAACGTGGTACAGAAAGTGCCTGTCACTTACATGCCATAAAATCGTGAACAGACAGGCAAATGAAAATGACTCCTCAAAGAGTGACTTGAACGGGGGCGGGGGGAGTCTTGAAATTAACAATGCTTCAAAATGTCATTCAAGCTCGGGGATTTGGTTCTGCCAGTTTCTAAAAAGTCACACTTAAAGGGACAGTCAAGTGTCCCCTGCCACCTAATGTGGCTTGCTG